GGGGCTCCTCAGCCCAACAGGTGCTGCGGGCCCCTCTGAGCCGATCAGCTGCAGCTCTCAATCAGAACCAAGCAGTGAGCTGAAAGGAGCTCCTCCTGCAAACATCAACAGATCTAGAACTAAAACCTGCAGATATCTGCTTCCTTTGCTACTGCGCTGGTGGATTATGTTCTTTAAGTGTTTTAAACGTGCAGATTTCTGATCATCTCTGGTCAGAAATCTGCAGGATTTGCAGCAGCTTACTGGTCTCCACAGGGCCGCTGCCAGCTATTTGGGGCCCCATGAAAGATATTGATATTGCCCCCGCCCCCTCAAACTTTAAAACTGCTATAAAGACATAAAAGCGTCATTTTCATTTTCAATGTATTTTTTTCTACACAATTTCAATGAATGAAAATTATCCTCAGACAAAAAAGTTAAAAATACTTTAACTTTAAAATTTACATAAAAAAATCACCCTCTCAGAATAATAACAGCCTATTTAGAACAAAAAAAATAGATTAATCTATGCACACATGAAAAGAAAATAGGTTTAGGATTTTGAAAATATGTTCCTATTTTGTTTCGTTATAAATTGAAACAGAGAACAGATTATTGGATTATTGTTATGCTGAGAATTTATCTTTGGTTCATGTTTATATATAATGACATTAATAATGGTGAATATTTTCACACTTTGTTTACAATGATTAATCCTGAAAGATCAGGAAGAAAGCAACGATATTTATTTTACTGCGGGTTAGAGTTCTGCTCAGATGGACCTCGCCTTGGATTCAGGGCAGAGGGATGGAAAGGAAAATCACTCATTAGAGGAAAAAACAAAAATGTTGCTGAAACTTTGAAGAAAGAGGAAGAAAAAGGATTTTTCTCTTCCTCTATTGACTGTTCCAATCATCAAATTTCCAGAACAGTTCTTTGCAACCAGAGCAGCCATGCTGGGGGGGTGGGGGGGGTTCTCTCTGTTGTCGCCTCTGACTCTTTCAGGCCTATTTTTAGTTGTCAGGTATGACTGAGCTCTTTGTGGCCGACTTGCTGCAGTCGGACGGTTTCCATCTCTCTGTTAAAACAGACTCAAACTGTCAGTCAGGTAGACGCCATGATCTGAAGATCATAAAGTAAAAAAAGGATTTAAAANTGTAGATGGAGGCGGTGACGCTCCTTTGATCAGTCGGTCCAGAGGAGACGGTGGATCCTTTACTGCAGGGAACCACAGCTAATAATAGAGATTATAAACCTTTAAAGAGGAAAAGCTGCTTCAAATTCCCTCAACAGAGACACTAACATTTATTCAGAGCTCTTCTTGTTTTCAGGCCTTCGCTCTGAGCTTCACAGGTTCCTTTAAATCATGGACTAAGAATGAAAATCCTCTGATGGTTCACAGTCTCTCCTGAAACGTTTGGAAATAGAAAAACTAGATTTCTTTCATATCTGATTTATTAAACCAGGCATCGCCAACCTCTGTCCTCAGGGCCCGCTGTCCTGCAGGGTTTAGAGGTTTCCCTGCTTCAGCACAGCTGGTTATAATGGTTCCAGTAGAGCAAAAGCCTGTTAATCAGGTTTTAATTAAAATCAGCTGTGCTGGAGCAGAAACCTCTAAACCTGCAGAACAGGGGGCCCTGAGGACCGAGGTTGGGGATGCCTGGTTTACATCCATGTTCGCAGGAAACTGAGATGGAGTTTCAGCAAATCTCCAGCAGGTGGCAGCACTGCACAGATAAATATGTATATAAGGGCTGAGATAATTGAAATAATCTATAAGTAATTTAGTAATTAATTAATCGTTAATTGTAGTATAGAGGCTGTAAAATGTGACAGATCAACCCACTTAAAGCAATTATTTTATTTAAATCGTAGAAATAATATATAAACATTTAGCATTTTAAGATAAAACATATTTTTGTCAACCTGCTCTATCCAGAACTCCTCAAATGTTAAAGTTTGTTTTTCACCTGGTTTAATTTACTAAAAAAAAATCTTTAACGAATCTTTGGTTATCTGATTATTAATAGATTAATCAGGCAGAGATGCATCTTTTAGTTTCAGCCATGCAGACGTTCCACAGAGATGCTTTGATATTTTCTAACTGATGTTTGCGCCTCGGCTTTGTGTCGACTCGTCGTTTCCTCTACAGTGGAAACAGGAAGTGATCATCTGAGAGAGGTGGAGCTTCCTGTGCGGTTTGAACTGATGAGGTCCACGCCTGGAGGTCTGCAGAGGCTGAGCTGGTCCCTCATAAACAACCTCTGGTGCCTTTCAGCAGGTTCAGAGACCAGGCTGCTGAGTAAGGAACCAGAGGAAATGCTGAGTCACTGGTTGCTATGGTGATTCCATCCAAGCAGAACCTTTTTCATCTGATTCACCTGAAAGAGACCAGAATTTAAGCCTCTAAAGACTAAAGAGTCGGTTCTTCACCCGTTAGAACCTGATAAAGAGGCTGAAGGTTCTGGCAGGATTATCTGGTTCTGGATCGGATCAGATGATCCATATAGAGAAGTTCTGCTCCTCTGGCCTGTGGAGTTCCTCAGAGCTCAGCTCTAGGCCCACTGGTTTTCTCATCACATCAGATGACATGTATGAACCGTTAACCACACAGTGACTGGTTAGCAGATACTTTCAGGTGTTAAACTTCATCACTTTGGTGTCGTGGTTTTATCTCTGACTTTTCATTGGTCTTATTTCCATTTTGTTTTCTAGTTATTTTTGATTGTATTTGAGTTCTTAGATATTTCTTTTTTGCCCTCTTGTCTCCTCCTCCTAGCTCCCTTCTAGCCTCCTCTGTTCACACCTGCTCCCCATCTGCTAATCTGCTGGTCCTTGTTTCTCTCTCCCATATATTCTCCTCCTGTTCAGTCTCTCTTGTTGGGATCCTTAATAAAAAATGACAGATTACTTCTGTAAAAGCGCGACCACGTTTATTTCCCTGCTTGGCTGATTTCTGCTCTCAGCTCCTTCATCTCTGATCATTTACTGACGTTAGGAGCGTTTGCTGAATCTGACGGGTCATAAAAACCCACAGTGGGAGGAGAAGTCAGAGAGATTGACGTAAAAGGAAGATGTTGCATGAGGCTTATTGTCTCTAAATACTGTCAGGCTGAACGATTCAGCTCATTGTTGAAACAGAATAATTCTAGCATGTAGAGTCGATGACTGGATGCAACCAACTGGTTTTCCTTAGAAAGCGTTGAGCCAGTCTGACTGGATGTTCTGCTAATCACTGAAATCAGACACCGTCTTTATTTTACAGTGAAGAAACAGGAGGAGTTTGGTTTGAGTGAAACTACAGAGATTCAGTCAATTCTGCAGATTCTGCAGAGCAAAGAGTTTTCCTCCTGAAAGTTTCTGTATGGTGTGGCTGGAAAATTTAGTTTCTCTTATTTCATATATTAATTTATCCTATTTACTTACTATCAAAGTTTTTCACTCACAGTGTTTCACCTGCAAGGCCACACCATTCTCTGCAGACAGAGCTTCTTCCATAACAAACCAGCTTCTTTCTCAGGTTTATTCATGTTACCGTTTAACCAAAGTGTCTGTAATTAGTTTTAACTCTGACTTCTTTCCATTGTTGTCAGTAAGGAGGAACGAACGCTGCTCAGGTAGAACAGGGCTGATTAACAAGCAATAACCAAATAAAGTGCAGACTGAGTGAAATCCATCAATCTCTGTTACTATAACTGGAATAAATGAATAATTAGATTTAATTTGCACTGCAATGGTTCAGCTCTTTTTAAAAAGTCAGTTGTGCAGCTCTGAGAGCAGCTGAAGGATTCCCTGCTTTCTGCTCCACATGTCCAACCAGGTGAGGTCATCTGGCCTCTGATTCAGCCTCCGCATTAAAGCAGCCGCTGACGCTGCAGAGAACATTTAAGCTTGGAGTCTCACATCATCACAGCTTCATTCAAGGCGCTTCCAGACGCCAAAGCGTTTCACATCCGCTGACGTTTTCCTCAGACGTCCTGAAGCTCCATCTGCGTCCCTCTGTGCTCGGTGAGTTTTCCTACTCTCTGTCTTTAAAATCAAAGATTTTAAACTCTGACATCATGAGGAATAAATGAGCTTCAGGTCCTCCAGCATCAACAGAAGCTCATTGGCTTCATCTGCAGTCGGCCTGAAATTAGATAACAACAGAATCAGAATGCAGGTTCGATTTTCAGTCCAGCTCCTGTTTCTCTCCAGAACTTTACGTTTCCATGTGCTTCTCTACATGTGGAGGAGATCTCCTCAGGCTCTCTATGGCCACATGATCTCACTGGTTAAAGCTGCCCTCCATTAACACCTCGTAAGATCTCACATTGTGGTCGCAGGAGAGATCTGCTGCAGTTAAATTTAACCTCGGCGTGAACAAATGGCTGCAGCCTGCTCTGCAGAGCAGGAGGGGCCTGGATGTTTCTGCAGAAGGTCAACGAGGGGCTGAAGTGTGACAATTCAGGGTTGTTCTTCCTCTCCTCGCTTTGATCCGCTGTCACCAGACCAGGTGGAAGTTCTGCTAAAAGGAGAAATGAGGAAAGAAGGAGGAGGAGAACCTTTCTGAGGGTGTTTCTCCTCAGAGTTCAGCAGAGTTGGGGATCCTGGTCCTGCATCGTGTCCGTGGGTCTGAGGAACTCCAGGCTGAAACTAAAGGCTTTAAAATTGGCAGTGAAGTGGAAATAAATGAAGATTTGAAGGATCTTCAGGTTCCTCCCTCTGCAGAGCAGAACATCTTCAAACCTTTGGAGGAAATGTTGAGGATGGATGGTTCTGCATCTAGAACCTGCATCTCTGACCAGCTGATAGAACCTCATGAAGCTGCAGAACCTTCATCTTTTTTCTTTATTGTCATTTTCTATGAGCAGAGTTTATATAAAACATTCATTTATTCAGCTTACATCATTCTATTGCAGCTGGAATAAGATAACATTAGAATATAAAGAGCAGCATTGATCAGAAAGGAACTCAGTGGGGGAATAAATCCCCTCTCCCCCTTCCGTGATCTTCTATAGTCACATTTCCAAAGTCTCGCGAGACTTTGTAGAAACTGCCTGGCTTCAGTTTGCGACGGTTCGGTGACTCGAAGCCGTTTAGCTTCGCTGCGATCAGAATCCAACAGTTTCTACAGTTATTTACCGGATAAAACCGGTTCCGTGTGTTTGGGTCGGACCTCAGCCGCGTATCGATCAGTCTGCGGGTTTTTTTTGCCTTCGGTTCGTAGTTGGTTTTGCTAACGGCTAACAGCTCGCGCGCTAGCAGCTAGCAGGCTAACGTCTTTAGCTTCGGCTGCAGAGGAACCAGGAAGGAAGCGGTGGACCTGCAGGCTTCTTGGGCCGAACCTTCAGCGGATCCCCGGAGCTTCATTTGGACCAAGAGAAGCTGCAGATCTACGGAACCAGGCCTGCTACGGTCAGTTAGAACCTGAACCGGGTTCCTGTTGCGCTTTAACGGTTCCACTGGTTCTGGTTCTGGAGCAGAACCTCCTCTGATCTGGATTAGAAGGGATTAAATAATCTGTTCCTGCAACATTGAGACACATTTTGACTTCCTGTGTTTGAAACTGGTTTAAATGTGGAAGTTTTGGCAGCGGGGACTTTAATGCAACAGTTGGATAAAAATCTTAGATTTTAGAGCAATCTCCCCAACCCCGGAAGTAGGATGCAGTGTCTACGTCACAATCTAGGCAGCTCTGAGGGTCTTTATATTCCTTCATTTAGACGGAAGTGGTTAAAATTTGCACCAGATTATCTTCATCTGTGAAACAAAGCTCCCATTTCCGGGATCCACGTGACTTTGGTGAAAGTATAGTTTAAAATTATAAAACTGGTTGGATCTGAGTTCTCAGAGCAACTAAAGCTGATTAATTGTACCATAAAAATGTAAAATAGTTGATCTGTCCTCCTGAGGACAGGGAGGTCATCACAGGAGAACATCAGCGTCCATCTTCTCAGGAGGTCCAGCCCAAAGCCAGACAGGAAGCTCAGAGAAACTCTGGTTCCTGTCTGGTTTGGGCTCCCAGTGGCCCTCAGAGAAAAGGTCCTGTTGGTTCCGGGGTCCGTCTGCAGAGGGACCATGATTTCCCTGAAGGTTCTGGGTTTTCTCCTGCTGAAGCTCATGTCTGTCAGGAGAAAATGGAAGAAGCTGAATTCATCGTTTATCTGCGGTGGTCAGAAGATGAAGTCTCACTTCTTCCAGATCACAGGAGGGAAACTAGACTGAAGAATGTAGACCACCTCTGCTGCTTCTAAGGTTAGGAAGCAGAACCTGGCGTTGGACCGCCTCTGGTCCAGTTGGGGGGGTTAAACCTGAGTTTAGGTTCTGTTCACTTACTGGCAGTTGGGTGCATAGCAACCGTTGCTAGGCAGAGCGATTTGTTGGTGGTCTCTAAGGAAAGCTGGAGTTTGAGGCCTGAACATGCGGCCATGTTGGACGTCTGCTCCGTGTTCAGCTCAATGGTGGCAGAAAACCAGTTTAATAATTTGCTGATGAAAACGATCCTGATTATTATGATGCTGATGGAATTAATGAGGATTTAACCTTTTTGTTCAGTGAAATTAGAAACCATCAGGTTTTATTTCCTGTTTCTAACACCTGATTTAACGGTTAAACAGGAAAGGCTTTTAAACTCAGGTTTTATTGGATGAAGTTGTGATGTTTATTTAGTCAGAAGGTTTGATGTCAGATAAGATCAGAGCTGATTGGCTGATTTTGAACCCTAGCTCCTCCTCCTCAGACAGGCAGCGAGCCTCCGTCAGCCTCCTGGTTCTGCTGGCTGATCTCAGCCCAGCAGCAGGTTCTGATGGCGCTGCAGCGCCGTCTGTGAGATGACATCACGCTGACCTTAACGGTTGATTCATGTGTTGAAGGACAGAAGCTGACCAGGTCTGACTGCCGACATGTCCAAGGCTCCGGATTCTCCGTCCAGACCCAGATCCAGGTCAAGGTCTAGATCCAGATCCTACTCCAGATCCAGATCTCGAAGCCGCTCCCGCTCAAGATCCAGGAAACGCCACTACAGGTAGAACCTGTTTGCTGTCATGTTTGCTGATGAAGCTGTGATGTTTGCTGAAGCGTCTCAAAGTTCTCTAACAATCAAAGCGGTTCTGGAAGGAAAGGTTCTGATCCGGTTGGGTCTCCATCATGTTGGGAGGGTTAAAGTCTGACCACTGGGGTTTCCCTGCATGTCAATGATTGGTCAAACCGCCTCAGAGCAGTTACACTTTGCCCCCCCTCCTTATCTCCCTCCCACAGTGTGTGGGTGGATGGGGGGGGGGCTGTCCTGCGTTGACCTCCAGCAGGAGGCCGGATTAAAGCGCTTTACTCTGGACGGTTAAATGAGCAGAATGTTCTGGAACTGTTTTGACTCCATGGCTCTGGTTCTGTTGAAGCTCATCTTCAGGTCGACTTTAATCAGCAGTCTCACAGGGAACCAGGACGATGGCGCCATCTGCTGGTTGGATCCACGGCTCCATGTTGGTCCCCCTCTGGTTCTGCTGGAGTCCTTCCTGTTTGTCTGGTTCTAAAAACCAGAACCGTGTCGACCCACTAATGCTCGGCTTTTCGCTCTTTTCCCTTTTTTTGAGTTTTTACGGCACTAGTGGCTGATTTTCACAGACAGTAGGCTGTAGGGGTGTAAATCACATCCATCATGGCGATTCAATTCACTATCGATTTCCTGACCCAACAATTCGATTATTTTTGATACTCAATAATGCACCACCATACGATTCAATTAATTGGTTCATTTTTTTTTTTTACACCTTACAGGCTAGACAATGTTTCAATTTTTAAAAATAAATCAATTAAAGCTGTAATATCGTTATGCATTTATTTTGAGAAACTACAGCAAATAACAGAAGTAGAAAAGTTTTACTCCATCTATTCCTATTAAAACCTCATTCACTGATAAATAATAATTCCCCTGCGTTATAGATCCTGAAAGGCCTTGCATCAATAAATACTCCACATAATCAGTGCAATGAGTGCAATGCGATACCTCGGCTCCAGACGTCCCGCCCCCTCCACAGACGCTCCGCTGCTCCTCTCCCTAATTGTAGCTGACCGCAGACAGGAGGCCGGCTTGTTTTGGTTTTCTGACTGAAATTGCAGAAAAAAACTCGTGAAGTTTGACCAGCTAGAAGAGCCAGGTGCGTGAGAACGCTGGGACCCTTTTTCCACCTGGATCTCCGCTCTTTTTGGCCCTCATGTCCCTCCGTCGTCGGACTAAACTCGCCCCCACTTCCTCGCCGCCTCGGCCGTATCTAGACCCACAGCGTGTAGCACAGACCACGCTTCAATATTGAGCATAAATCAAAAATGTCTGCATCAAGCTCACTGCAACACACTGCTGTAAGAGTATAACCAGGAAGCGAGCTAGGAGGGCAAAATAGGTTTAGCGCCACCGTAGCATAGGAGGGAGAATTACGCCCAGGAGCAAATGGATAAAAATAGAATCGATTCTCTTGTGGGCGTGTCGATGCATCAGATCGTCGGCTTTTGTATCGAAAACGATTATTATTTACACCCCTAGCAGGCTGACAGGAAAGGGGGTGTGAGAGAGAGAGAGAGAGAGAGAGAGACATTCAGCACAGGACCACAGGTGGGATTTGAATCTTGGTCAGCTAGGGCCTCCATGCATGGGTTTAGGTCGCTAACCACTGCGCCACCGAAGCACATCCTGCTCTTTGCTCATTTGACCGAAACGCCGAGCGACCCCCCCTGCTAGAAAGCTGCGTGGCCTCTGACCCCTACAGCTGCCTGTCTGTTGACATCATCACTCTGGGTTAGTGTTGATGGAGAGCATCATAGTAGGAAGCCAGGGCGTAGTCAGTGAGCTTTATTGTTCCTCTGATCAGTTTGACATTCAGACGCAGCCGCCCCTCAGCGCAGTTCCCCAGAGACTTCTAGAAGCTTTGGCGTCCAGAACGCGCCGCTGGGAACGCAGCAATAATCCGAGGAAAGGGATTAGAATAGATGATGTGGAACGCGACTCTGCTTATTAATGAAATAATATTCAGATAAAAAGATGAAGGTTAAAAGGTAGAAAAACCAGCAGCTGGTTTAGAAGCTGAAGAGGAAGAAGGCGGTTCATGTGCTGTGACCTGTTGAAGTGGTAACATCATCATCATCATCACTGCTCGCCCTTCTTCTCTCCAGTTCCAGGTCTCGCTCCCGCTCCCACTCCCCCGCCTACAGAAGCTACCCTTCCCGGGACTATCAGGGCAACAACCGAGGCTTCAGAGGCTACAACCGAGGCTACCGCCGGCCGTACCACTACCGCGGCCGCAGCCGAGGCTACTACCCCCGCGGCCATTACCAGAACCGAGGGAGGGGAGGAGGAGGAGGGGGCGGCTACGGCTACAAGTCCAACTGGCAGGCCAGGGGGGGAGGCTGGCATGACCGCCAGGAACACCACAGTCCCAGGAGGGGGTACTCGCGCTCCCGGACGCCCAGGAAGCGCTCGGCAAGCCGCAGCCGCTCCCGCTACTCGGACCGCTCGTCTTCAGGCCATTCCCGCCACTCGAGGCACTCGAGCTACTCCTCCCGCTCCCGTTCTCGCTCCTCGTCTCGACGCCGCGACAGCAAAGGCCGCCCCAGGTCCAAGGATCCGAAAGACAAGCAGCCAGAAGGTCAGAGCGAGAAGGCGGGTGCGCCCGCTGACGGCAGCGTCATCGCCAAGGCCTCTGGAGGGAAGTGGATCGACTACGATGGCAGCCCCAAGCGACGCAGTCCCGACTCTAAGAAGGAGGACGACGCTCCTTCTCCCGACTCCAAAGGGGGCTGGTCTGAAGGGGCCGGGATGTGGAAAACGGTCGGTTCTGGTTCCCCTCCAGAGAAGAGTCCCTCCAAGTCTGCTCAGACGGCTTCGTTTGGCGGCTTCGGCTTCTTCTCCAAGGAAGACGCCAAGGGTGGAGACAGCACCGTGATCTCAGCTGCTTTTAAGAAGTACGTCCCTCTGTCCTAAACGTCTGTCCGTCTGTCCATACGGTTCCCGCTGCTGCAGCTTAACCCCAGTTTCTGTTTCAGGTTCCTGGCTGAGAACAAACACAAAAAACAAACGTCTGAGAAGGAGAACAGTCGGGAAAAGGAAGCAGGCTCAGCAGAGCGAGAGGCGGAGAAAAGCTCCAAATCCTCGGACCTCTTCAACATGTCGGCTTCTTCCTACTCCGAGCCCAAAGAGGACAAGGTTCTGCCCTTCTTCGACCCGGGAGAGGAGGAGTTCCTGGAGTCCCAGGGTCTCAAAGACCGCATCATCAACGAGGACGGCGAGGAGAAAGCGGGCCTCACGGCGCGCGATATGTTTGGGAAGTGGGGCGACGAACCGAGCCGCCCGGCGTCGTACCAGTCGGTGAAAGAGAAGAGCCGCAGAGACGCCGAGGAAGAGGAGGCTGTGGACGACGCCGAGGAAGAGCTGTACCGCAGCCGCAAGCACTCGTCTAAGAAAGAGGAGAAGTCTAAGAAGAAGGAGAAGAAGGAGAAGACCAAGAGGAGTCTGACTCCTCCGTCTACATCCAAGGAAAAGGAGCGGCCGCTGTTTCCCGGAGCGTTTCCTGCCGTGGATCAGTCTCCGCCGCACCGCCTGTCTGCTTCCAGGCAGGAGTTTGAGCTGAAGATGAGTTCCTTAGAGGAAATGCCCAGGTATGTTCTCTGCTGCCCCCCTGAGGATTACTGCAGCATTGCAGCCACCATAAAACGTTCCTGTAAAGTTTCTGTTTCAGTTTATCAGGATAAATGTTTTCATCTCGTCCTCTCAGCTCGTCTCTTTCCAAAGATCGCCTCACGCCTCGCGACCTGCTCCATTCCTCCAAGAAAGATCCGGAGTTCCGCTCCATTTTCCAGCACATTCAGTCGGCGCAGCTGCGGCGCAGCCCCTCCGAGCTTTTCGCCCAGCACATCGTCTCCATCGTGCACTACATCAAAGGTAGGGTGCTCCCGGCGGCGGCGGCGCCACGCGGAGCGGCTCCGCTCTGTCTCTGTGGGTTAATAACTGTGGTGTGTTTGCAGCTCAACACTTCCCCTCGTCAGACATGACGTTAAGCGAACGCTTTGCCATGTACCAAAGAAAAGCTGCAGAGGCAGAAATGATGAAGCCAAGGAAAAGCCCAGAAATCCACAGGTACCGCATCATTCCGCCGCTCCCGCTGCGCCGTGGCGTTCCCCGTCACTAACCTCCTCTTCCTCCCGCAGGAGAATCGATGTCTCCCCCAGTGCCTTTAAGAGGCACCCTCACCTGTTTGAGGATTTGGACGAGACGAGCTACAAGGTGACGAGCACTTTAGAAATTAACCGTTCTTTGGAGTCTGAGACAATCTCGAGCAGCAGTGTTCAGCTCTGTGCTTTTCTTTCAAAGGATGCATATTTCTATATCAAAAGAGCCCAAATGTGTTTAATAAGTGCCAAGAAAGCCCCCAGCCTATGAGATATGATAATTGATTGGGTAAATACGAACCCGAGCAAAGGCTTAAAGGAAGTGAATTATGATCCAGGGTCCAAGCATCTCAAGGGACGCTTATCAATGCCTTTACCTTGTAAGTATCTTTCCTGCCCAGAAAACCATCCAGCCACAAACTGTGACGTCAGTTTCTGTTACTGAGCTTCATGCATGTTTGCTGCAACCTTTCTGTGATTATCTGCAGACACACAGCCGGTGTGTCTCTCCCTGTTCTCACTGTAACATTCCCACCGTCTGCACCTCCTCCTGCTGCTCCTCCTAATCCACCTCCTCCCCGCAGGACCCAAGCAAGCGCTTCAAAGGAGACATCATGGACCTCCGGCTGGATATAGAAAGACGAAAGAGGTTTGCTGGGAAGGAGCGGGACTTCAAACGGGAAGGAGGCAGGAGCCCCGGGGGCTCCCGGGGGCCCAGCAGGGAGCGCTCCTCCGAGAAATCTGGGAAGCACCACAAAAAGTCCAAGTAAGTCCGACCGGAGTGATGGTTAAAAAAAAAAACACATTTTATTATTGAAACGTCTGGATTTATATCAGAATCTCTGTTTTCTCTCATTTAATTTAGAGTTTAATCAATTAGATTCTTATCAAGTTGCGTTTTCCAGATCTCATCCCTTCACTCAGGGGGGCGGGACTTCCTCTGGAGCAAAGCTGCGTTTCTATTGGTCAGCTGGACGTCAGCAGCAACATTTTATTGGTCAAGAGGAAAAATAAAAATCAATCAACCTTTAAAACTATGAACAGGAGAAATATGAAAAATATAAACTAAAAAAAATAAAGCTTGAAAAAATAAAACCTGAATTTATTTAAAATAGAAAATGAAAAAGGGAAATGTTTGTTTCATTGTTACCATGGCGACGGCTCCTTAAAGTGTTTCCCGCTTTTCTTGACGCTCGCTTCGTTCTTCCAGGAAAAGTAAGAAGAAGCGTGATCGCTCTCCATCCTCCTCTTCCTCCTCCTCCTCTCCATCACCCTACCCTCCCCCCTACAGGGGAAAGGAGTACGCGGGGGAGGGCATGGAGCACCTGGAGGAGGGCTACGGCCACACCCGCTACCCTCCCCGGGAATACGGCGGCCCCGCCGACCGGGGCCCCCGGGAATACGAGGGCCACTTCCCAGACAGAGGAAGAGGTCGTGGATTCGTAAGTTCCACCCCCCTCCCCCGTCTGTTTCTGTGTGATGAAGGTGAGGTGAGGAAGACGATTAACAGCTGAACTGAATTCCAGTTTCCCAGGATGAGAGGAAGAGGCTGGAACAGAGGAAATTATCCCGGGAACAGCAACGGAAACCCAGCCAATGCCAACCCCCCAGTGCGCCCCCCGGAGGAGGACTGGGACCCTGAATACACGCCCAAGAGCAGGAAGTACTACCTGGTGAGTCTGGGAGCGCGGGCCAGCAGGGGGCGCCGTTCTCCTTTTTAGTTTTATTCTCTGGTTAAAAATGACCTCCTTCCTCTTCAGCACGACGACCGAGACGGAGAGAAAACCTGGGTGGAGAACCGCGGCCGGGGGCGGGGCTCCTTCCCGACCCGCCGCGGCCGCTTCGTGTACCGGAAGGGCGGCAGCAGCCCCAAGTGGACCCACGACATGTTCCAGGGGGGGGAGGAGGGGGAGCTGGGCGACGACGGCGACGAGTTGGAGCACAAGGAGGCGAAGAGCTCCGGAGACGGAGCGGCGAAGCCGTGAACGGCGTTTAACGGTGGAAGGTTTTCTGTTTTATGTCTTTTTAAGGGAGAAGGTGTGAAAACGGAAGCGTTTGTGCCTTAGAGGAGAATAAACCTGCTGATCAACACATGGTTCATGAACTCTCTGCATGAATTGGACCAATCAGCAGAGCGTCTGTCGGTGTGTGTGTGTGACATCACTCGTCTTTAGTTCACCTGACGGTAGGAAGAGGAAATCTATCTGCTGTAGGTTTAGGTCTAACTTTTTTAATCCCAGACCTTCTGCATGTCCTCATCTCACGTCTCCTGGGCTTTTTTTACTTTAGCTTTAAAATGTCTTTTTGTTTTCAATAAATTTCCTCTAAGCCGGGTCGCTTCTGGACCGTCTCTTCATTTCTTCTATAATCATGTTTAAACCATTAGAACCAAACTGGGAAATAAAAGATCCAGTTTAGATGATATCTGGAAAGGAACTGGCATTTGTGACGAGTTTCTAAATGTGAATAAATTTAACGTTTGTCTTTCAGCTCATTGATGTAACATCAGATGTTTTATTTCTGAGAATAAAAGTTCAGAAGTTACAACTTTGCTAAATTTCTTCCTGTTTCCTTCTATTGTTGCCAAGTTGTGTTCAAAGCTTTTATTCTCACCGATGAAACGGATCCTAAATGTATCTTCATCTTATTGGCCGTTCATCTGCCGCCGTAAATGAGCTCCAGGTGAGAGAGAATCATCCGTGTTTCCTGTCAGATGAAACCTGGAGGATCGACCTGAAGGCGTCAAACCGGCAACAGGAAATGATCCAAATAAAATCACTTCCTGGAAATCTGATGAAATGTCTAAAAACAAACCGCTCAGCTTGGAGAACGTCCTGTAAAGGTAAACTGCATCGGAAGAACCCGGAAGTCTGGGAATACGGCTCCAGGTCCGAGGAGAACCTGAGTCCAGTGGGAGGCTCACTGGATCAGGTCTGTGGTTTGGAACCAGCAGCCGATCATCTGATCATAGAATAAATCTGCTCTCAGTCTGCAGAGGAGAGGAGGCCTAATGGTTAGAACTACAGCCTGGGTCCCTGAGCAAGACCCTGAACCCCACACTGCTCCCCAAGGGGAGGGGTTAAATGAGTTTCAGAGAATGACAATAAAAAATAAAATCATTTTAAACTAAGACCTTTAACAGCTGGAGGAACTGGTTTAACTGGAACTCAGTGATTTGATCAGAATCTCTGATCCTCACATGACCTGAAAGCTGCGGCCTCCATCTTTACTCCTTTAATAGACGTCAGCTAATATTTCATCCTCCAGAATCAACCAATCAGAACCGTTTCTGAACGTCTTCACTTTGTTTCATTAAAATCATTCAGATAAAAGGTTAAAGTTTGAGAAACGTTTGAAATAGAAATGAAGTTAAACTGAAATATTTCAGTCATTAAAGGTCGCGACCTTTCATAAAGGAAACTAATGGCCGCCGTTCTGTCAGACCAACGTACCAACAGTCAAACGCATCCAGGAGACGTCAGATAAGCTTTTATCCCTTTAGTGTTTGTACAAAAAATAGACTTTAAACTACCTTAACGCGCTCGTTTCCCTTTATTCATCTACAAAAAACTATTTAAGGTCAGATCGCCGTACGCTTCAAAAAACGCCAAAAAGTAATAAAATAGTTTCACAGCCATACATGACTAAATGGATACACACCTGTACAGGTAGTTTAGTCTATTTTTCATATAAAACTAAAGACATAAACAGGTATTTACTATGGGTATGCTGGTCTGATGGGGTATGCTGGTCTGATGGGGTATGCTGGTCTGATGGGGTATGCTGGTCTGATGGAGTATGCTGGTCTGATGGGGTATGCTGGTCTGATGGGGTATGCTGGTCTGATGGGGTATGCTCACCTGACAGAACTCTGGCCATGACCTCAGTCGGTTATAATTTAAAATATAATATAAATTTCTGTCTGCAGTTATTACACAGTTATAGGTGTCTGCTGTGTGATCTAATGGCACCTTAAGGGGGTAATAAATATTATTCTCTGCAATAAATGCCCATAAGGCTTAATGAGAGATCATTATATTTAGATCAATGATGATTATCTAACAGAGCTACAAACTGCAGCAAACGCGTCTGCATTCTCCACCTGCCTTTGATCTCTAAATACTGAGTCCTTTATAGAAAAAATAAAACACACAAAGATGCTAAAACCTTTTTTGAAACTAGAAAGTCATAAAAACGCTTTATTTCAGCAACATTAGTTTGATTTTATTCTCTTTTTATGCTACGTTCAGACGGCAGGCAGCAGAAGCAGCAGGTTTACGTGCAAAGTCGACGTTTGATGCGCATCAAGGCGCAGCTAAAGTTCCTGCAGCGCGTCTGAAGCTGCGCCTCATGAGCTTCTGACGCGCCTCATCAACCAATGAGAGAAGCTGATCTGGGAGCTGGCAGGGAGTCAGACGCAGCACTGCTGATGCAGAGCGCTATGATCACTCCTCTGAAACAGTTTATTAACTAGAACTAGACCTGGACAAGCATCACAAATGAAGCAGGATGCGTGTTTTTGCTGCTCCTGCTGCTTTAGGTGTGATGAACGTAGCATTGGGCTTTAAATAGCCACATTATGGATTAATATACAGAATATTAAATAAATGATCATTAACTAGAGATAAAAAGATCAACAGAACCAGAATAATATCATAATATCTGAAGAGATGGTCGGGGATGGAAGGACTGATGCTCGGTTCTTATTGGTCCATGAACGTCCCGCTCTGCATCACTATAAAGCCTGAGACGTTTAATCATCTTCATCATCCTCATCCTCAGGTAGGTCCTCACCTATTTATTTTAACAGTCTTTCCTTCTGAGGAGGCGGGGCTGGCTGGGCTGTACTCATGGGAATCCGTCTCCCGGCAACCGTGACAGCAGCTGATTAGAAGCTGAGGACTTCCTGCTTTGAACCAATCAGGGACCATTCAGCAGCTTTTAATTGTTACATTTTATTACATTTAGTGTTGAGTTTGACAGACATGTCGGACATTTGGAAAAACGGGGAAATTTGCGTCCTTTGTTGATTAAATACGGAGCCAGAGCTGCTGGAGGAGAAGGTCCAGGTTCTGAAGAACAGACCGGACTCCTAACGGGGATCCTACAGGTCTTCCTGGGTTCAGTAGAAACCAACAGATGGAGAGTGGAGCGCCCTCTGCTGGACTACTGAAGGATTCATCTAGTTTATTTTATTGACTCCAAACAGTCCGGAGAAAGTTAATAAACAAATAACAAACATAACTGAAAATTAATAGATAGAAACTTCTCTAAAGTGAATGAATGAATTATGGTTTTATATTTAAATAACCGAGATCAGAAACAGAAAGGATGGACTGATATCGGGACCACCTGTACTCCAGAAGATCAAGTCTTCCCTCCAAGCCTGACCTGTTCAGTCTATTCCCGATTGTCTTTTCATGACCTTTGACCTGATCCAGAATCCTGCGTTCTTTGCGGTTTCCCCTCGTCTGTCTGTGCGTTTTGGTCCATCCAGGATTCTGTAGTTCCTCTCTAATTGATGCAGAGCGCCCTCTGCTGGAGTCTTCTGGTTAGTGGTAATGGACGCGGCCAATGGTTCCTGTCCCACTGGCCAGAATGTCCGGCTGCCCGTTTCTCCAGATTTCCCGGACGATCCGCTCCCGCTCCTCCAGACGCCGGGCCTTCTCCAGCTCCTCGGCAGATGTGAACACGTTGATGCTCCTTAGGGTGCCGTTAGACTGGCTGCTCCGCTCACTCAGGGGCCCCGGGGTCACTTTACCCTCAGACTCCATCCCATCTTCCTCTGACACGCTCTCATCCTCTTCCTCCTCCTCGCTGGACTCTTTGAGCTGCCTCCTCTCGGGGGACGGAGGAGGTCCTCTGCGGCGCTGGGTCCTGCAGGTGATGCCGACCACCAGGAGGCAGAGGGCCATGAAGAGCCCGAATGAGACGCCCATCATGAAGTAGAGAGCGAAACTCTCTGGATTGGCTGAAAAACACAAGACCGCAACAAATTAGCAGGTTAGGTCTTCAGGAGCGCATGGAGCCTTGATTAGGGACGGTGGATGGAGGTGAACGTGCCAGGATCTCTGCTGACACCCAGAGTCTGGTGAGACAAACTGGGCTCTGTGGATGGTCTACATCAAGTGGATGGTCTACATTCTGCGGATGGTCTACATTCTGTGGATGGTCTACATCTTGTGGATGGTCTACATCTTGTGGATGGTCTACA